CTGGATTCTCATTTTTGGATCACAAAGGCTCCTGGATTCGCATTTTTTAAACTTCTCTGAGGAAGTTCTTTTTATTTTTTTTTTATGATTATTTGTTCCATTTCCACCTAAAAGGGTTCTAAAAATATTTTGGTATGGCTAGGGATTGCTTCTTGTTTTGAATCTTGAACTCTGTCCTGAAGATTTTTATTGATGATGGCTCTTTCTTTTGGCTATGTGATATGAAAGTTTTGGGTGTTATAAAGTTTAAGTGTAGATATGTAAATGCATTGACACTGAGAGTAGATATGTAAATGCATTGAAACTGAAAGTTCTTGCTATGGGTTGTCCACTTTCCCTTCAAAACATAGTTATTGTTGACATAGTGAGGTTAATGAATGATTTGCGGGGTCTGTTTTATCTATTTTTATACTCATACAGTTCTATTGCAAACAGCTTAACCAAATAAGAGCAGAATAGTTATATATCCAACAACAGCCGTCAGTAAGCTGTTATGAATAAGCTGTTACAAACAGCAAGCCGGCTTATTCTGATAATCTGTAGATTATCAAACTAATCTACTTATCAGCAGATTATAAATAATCAACAGCTGCCCCAAACAGACCCTAAGTGAGCATGGATTTAATTTAATCTCCAAATTTCACCAAGACCTTACCATTGATTCACCAACTTCATTTGAGATGATAAAGCCCAAGTTAAGGCAAGGACTTGACCTAGGTTTGTTGTAAAGTTAGAAATTCAAAGAAGGCAATAAGAAAATCACCTGGAGCACATTAAAAGGGAAACCTAAGTTTGGGAGTGGATCCTAAGAGCTAAGAAAAGTAGTAGGAAGAAGTTTGTCAGTCACATTAAAAATGAAGTCAAAATTTCCATACACAATTCTTTTTAGTGTACTTATTGCCTCTCACATAGCTTATTCCTAATTCTTAACCTTAGTTGCGTCTTGCAGATTTTGAGGAACATTTATGGAGTTAATTTTAACAATAAAAACTGTCAAAGAGAGGTTAATCAATGAAAATATATAAAATGAGATAGATAACATGTTCTTTGCAAGTTTTGGTCTTTCTTGTATTAGCAATAAGCAAATCTAAGTTAGTATTTATATCAATATAAACAAAATTATCCAAAGCAGAAGCGGAAATGGGTTCAATATCTATTCAGACCTTAAATTTGCTCTGGCCTAGAAATTAAAGTTTTCCTTCATGTGTAAAAATATTGACGTGGCAACATTTAGTGCAATTATCACTTTTTCAGTATGGACATTTTTTAAGGCAATTACGAGACTATTTTATCAAGGAATTTTAAGAATGATTTAAAGAAAATTTTTCAGAGTAAATTCATGAATATTTTTTTAGAAAGTTTCATAAATGAATTCATGAGCATTTTTATTAGTGAATAATGGATATAATGAAGATTGGTAATTGATAACAAGAAAATTATCGAGCTAAGAGATTCATTTTCCTTCAATGTTTCCTCCCACGACAAGAGCTTGAAAAGTCTGGTTTATTTTTATAGAAATAAAAACTTTCATAATACTTTAGTGATAATAATTATATCCCTTTTTTATGAGGAAGCAAACAACAAATACGCACGTGGATCAAATTTACCTCTACTGTAAATATGAATAAGCATGAAGAAGACAGCCTAATATTTAAAAGAAAATTTCCTCAGATTTGTCAAAATATATATGTAATTTGGAGAGAATTGCTAAATTTTACACACAAACTCTAAATTTAAGCATACGTATTAAGAACATGGTAGATGGGGTGGTTGCACCCCAAAAGAATCTTAGGAATATTACTTTAAAACAATAATATACGAAAGACAGCATAGTATAGTTTTCCATTCATCCATTTCATTTTATTGGGCACAGGAGAATTCATGAATAATCCCTGCCTTTGATGAGAATGTAATAGAAAAATAATCTTTGGAATTGTCAAATCTAGTTCATAGAAAATCCAAAATTGAGTAGAAATCAATGTATGAATGATAAGAAAGATGCTACTCAATTCAATTTTTTTCTTTTTCTTCTTGGAAAATAATCAATTAGTTCTAATGCATCACAAATAAATGATAAACCCATTAACACAAAAATATTAGCATGTATCAAGGAATAAAGACAGCAATATCTAACAAGAATTGATGGACAAAATGCTCTATGAAGTTTCCCAATACACAAGCATCAAAGTGGAATTATTAACATCAAAAATTTTATAAATAGAAAGGGAATATATTTTAAGAAGATCAAAAAGAAGTTCTAATCATAGATGACAATGCCAAATCTTGACTGATTGTGAAGTGAGGTTTTTCAGAGTAAGACTAGGATAGTTAGTTTTCTTTGTCAATATTCATTTTATCAAATATGTAGATTCAATTCCTTTCTCTAACAAATCAATCAGCCACCGCCCACCTTAACCCAGAAAAGCACAATATGGAAAAATAGTTATTTTGTGATTCAAGTTTGTGGTGGTTTTATTAATGAATATATGATTGGGGGATAACTTTTCAAAATACAAAATTAATGGAAACAATAAGTTAATATTTATTGTTACTTTACCATCTACAATTATACATGACTCATCTGCAATCGTGATTTTTTGTTACCAGGACAAGTTGTAGGTGATGAACATGACTGATAATGACTTATAAGTTCAACATCTATAATCAAAGTGTTACCAAATCTAGAATCAGTGGAGCCAAAAAGCATGACAAAAGTTTCTAACAAAATTAAATTAAAGCGTGTATAAATGGGATAAAAAAATTAAGAAAATTTCAGACTTCTGTAATTTCTTCATTATTAAGGTTCCCATCTTCATGAAAGCACATTACAATTTGTAAAGTTGGCTTGATTTTTGCCCACAAAATCCTTCATTCTTAATGAAAATATTGACTCTCCAGCAAAACATGAAACAACTACCCTGTGTATGTTGTGACTATTTTCAAGATGTACTACACAAGATTGTTTCTTACACCAGAAATCTGGTGTCTCTAATTTATTGCCCTATATCTAATCATCTTTGCACTTTGTTGTCATCGGTCATTAAATATATGCTCTAGGAGTAAAACAACACACTTCTCCATCCCTCTGCACAAATTAAGACAACAATTGCATTGAGAGATGCTGGCCACTTTTTTCCATGCACTTAAATTAGAATCTAATCAAATCCAACATTCCCACCAGACATGAATTAGAATATTATCTCCCTTTCCAGAAATTTCTTTAGCATTACAACATCATCATTGAACTTCATGTTGACATTTAGAAAGTGGTCTGCATCAAGCCAAAAAATCTTCATTAGATTATATCATTCTGTGACAAAATGTATACCTTCTTCATCCTTTTCAAAAACCTGTTAATATCCTCATCTTGATTTCCAAGATCAAGGCAAAATCTTGAAATAAATTGACAAATGGTTTCCCACATTTACTGAGTAGCAAGGAACATTTAAAATTTAACTAATGTCTACTTGCATATACTTCCTCAAGCAATGAATTTTGGGTCTTCAAGATATGGCTTACCTCACCACTAAAGAAATATCTTCAGAATTTGTGACTATCAATACAGTTTCTTTCAAACACTATATAAAGTAGTACTTTGAAGGCCCCCATTTGATGAATGTTAAATAGATTCAATAATGATTCTTGAACTAACCAACTACTTTCAAAAGTTTCTGACATTTTAAAAAAGATGAATAAAAAAGAAGTCAATTTAGACAAATGTTTACCCAAAAAAAGGCTTTTGAAGACTCCTGAACCCAGCTCTAGACAAACAATAAAGGTTGGAGGATAAATAAACCAATAATGAAGATTGAAGACTAATTACAAGAAAAGCAAATATGAGAGGAAAAAGGGTCACTGTATTTAGTCAACATAAAGAAAATTAAAAACTTGTAATGATACAGAAGTAAAGTATCCAACGAAAAGTTCAGCTGGTATAATAAAATGCCAACAATGCAAAAAATTCCAGGCAACAAAGAAACAGCACCGGAAGCTCAATGGATAAACTAAATAAATCCAATGGAAAGCAGCAGTGGCATAGCAGGATTGCAAATAAACCTGCTTTGATACAATGATGAAAGGTGAGAATAGAAGTGGAACAATTTGTGAAGAACGAAAAAATCAATTCTTCTCGTTAACTCTTTTTATGTAGCCGACCCGCTTCAACCATCCATTATTTATAGGAGGAATTTATAAATCCTAATCAGTTCATCTTTGTTATTTCTTCTTGAATTTCAAAGAAAACAAATCTATAAACACACCAGATTTCCTGTTTCACACAAGAAAATGGAAACAAAAAAAGCTTTGGGTTGCCAACACAGATACTTGGACTGTCGCCAATTTCCATAAATCAGTAGTTTTCATGTGATATACGAAGTCTCAAAATCCATTTTATGTTAACCATGATGACACGGGGGTTTTCCTCCCCTACTAAACCGGTGTGTCCTAAACCGGTTTAGTTGATAGGGAAGGACCGGCCAACCCCTTGGACTTGGAATTTCCGAACAATAGGAGGAAGCGCCACCCCCGCCCGCCCGGTTCAATTGCCACCTTCCTGTGTCCTGCCCTCTTCCCCACAGCCAACCTCCCTACAGTCGGCCCTCACAAATTCCTCTACCACCACAACAGCCTCCCAGCTCTCCACCGTCCATGCTCCATCCCACGGCTGCAGTAACACCATCTCCCTTTCACAAATGTTGTTCAGTCATCAGTCACCACCCTTGTCCTTGCCCTAGGGTGTGTTTGTGTTTGTTTGTCGTTTATTTCCTATTTTAACGAATCTTGGTTGTAACCTTCTTGAATTTTAGCAATACTATTTCTATTCCTACTGTGGTTTGAGCTTCCTCGAGTATCACATGAAAGTATATTTGTTTTAAATTTTTTAACTTCCTTGATACATTCAGCAAAAAGGTTCAGAGAATCAAACAAAACATAAGCAAATGAGCAGTTTAGCAGATTAAAACGCCCCAGTAACTTCAAATAAAAGAAGACAATCAAATCACCTTGAGTTATCATTTCGAATAGTCCTTGCATTGCCAAATGCTTCCAAAAGTGGATTTGACTGGAACAATAACGCCCAAAAAGGTCACAAATACAGATAAAAGAGCACAATCACATCCTAAAAACCAGTAGCAATGCACCATCGCACATCATCTTCTAGAAATGGTAGAATAGCATACCTCAAGCACTTGTTGCTCCACTGAACGGTCATCAAAAGCTGCTCGACCACCAACAAATGTTAAATATTGCATGATCAGCTTTGTTGTCTCAGTCTTCCCAGCACCACTTTCTCCACTAACCAAAATGGACTGACTTCTACCTTCACACATCATCGCTCTAAAGCAAGGAAATGAGCTATCAATAGCTGGCCATACATCACATAATAGAGGCTGAAAAGGGACATGCAACGTTACACACCTGTATGACGCATCAGCTACAGCAAAAACATGTGGGCTCAATTCTCCAAACCGAATACCTTTGTATTGCTCCATCATATGTTCATTGTATAAATGAGGAAGCATCTTGAATGGATTTACAGCTATCAATATGCTTCCTGTATATGTCTATAAAAAAAAATGTCAAGCAATCACAGTAAAAACAAGTAAGAACATCAGTGGGAAAGACAACAAAAGCTATTTGTTGCTTTTCAACCTAAATAAACTCATGCAAAGAAGATGTAGACTTTACCCCATATGCTTTTGCAAGAGACTTGCAAGAAACTGCACCAAGAATATGTTATTGTAAAACAAATAAATTTTAAAATGAGATAAGCGGTTTAAGAGAGTTGCAAGGAAACAAAAAAATTGTGTGTTCAAAATGAATGGGGCAAGCAAGCAATTATTGAACATGCAATGGTAAAACAAATAAATTTTAAAATGAGATAAGCGGTTTAAAAGAGTTGCAAGGAAACAACAAAATTGTGTGTTCAAAATGAATGGGGAAAGCAAGCAATTATTGAACATGCAATGGTATAGAAAGAGATGGTGTAGTTGTTAAAGACCACCTAAGGCAAGTTTTTCACAAATCCTAGGAAACTGTCCTACATCATTGTGCTTGAAGCCACATTGTTAATGAAGCGGGACAATTTAACTTAAAATATCAGCGAGTGAACAATCTAACTAAGAGTTTTAAGTTCTTCGTTTAACTCGATTGGCCAAGACAGGCTCACATTGAAAACTTCCAATTAACTCATCATTATATTCTGAAAGAAGCATTGCTAATCAATTTTCATTTAAGCAGCACTTTAATTCTCACATTATATCTCAAAGTTCTATTATTAAAATTTCTTGCATCTAGTTAACGAAGCTCGGGTATATTGTTCACAGTGAAGGTGATATTGATGGGGTTGTTATTAGTCGGATGGCTGAAGTGAAGGAATGCATCGGACTATTGTGTGATAGAAAAATACCGCTTAGACTTGAAGGAAAAATTATAAGATAGTGGTGGAAATGCAACGCTTTATGGCGCAGAATGTTGGCCTATAAAAATAGAAGCATAAAATTAAGTTAGGTGTTGTTGAAATGAGAATGCTCAAGTGGATGAGTGGTTTTACAATTAGAGACAAAATGTGAAATGAATATATTTGTGAAAGGGTTGGGGTAGCTCCAGTGGCAAGACAAGATTAGAGAGTAGAGGTTTTAGATTTGACTTGTTGGGGTAGCTCCAGTGGCAAGACAAGATTAGAGAGAATCGCTATAGATGGTTTGGTCACAATATGCGTCGACCATTTGATGACCCAATCAGGAGAGTAGAGGTTTTAGATTTGACTTATGTTAAGAAAGGTAGACCTGGACCTAAAAAGACTTGGGCATGTCGTATAAAAAACGATCTTAATATAATAGAATTAAGTGAAATTATGACACGCAAGAGGACACCTGGAGAAAAAGGATTCATATAATTGACCCCACTTAGTGGGAGAAAGGCATGTTTTTGTTGTTATATATTAATGAAGCTCCATTCTCGATACAATATAAATACATCCGAATTTTGTCTTATGCATGGAAATTTCCCAAAAAATTATTAACACCTAAGTTTTGCATGGCAAAAAAGAGAATGTCAAGATGGACGAATCAAGTTTGTTAATTTTGGAATGATCAGCTAAGGTATGATTATATTTTTTTGAAAAGTTGGAGAGAAGAAATAATAATTGAAAATAGGTTTAATTGACTTGAACATGCACAGGAAAAAGTGGAAATTGAATCAATTAAACGGGTTAATGATGAAATGGTGTTGAGGATTAGGAAAGAGAAAGAATATACCTACTCTAACATAGATGCAAGTGTTTAAAATGATTCACAAATACTATTTTAAGACCTCATTCAACATAAAAAAAAGTAACAAATGAAAAAGGAGAAGTTAATAAAGCAACCCCAATTGGTTGGAATAAAGCAAACAATTATAAGCTTGCTTAACCTCAAAAACAATCAAATGAAGTTAAAAAATGTGTAAATCAAAGTGCTAAAATGAATATCACACTACAATAAAAGGCCTGGAACAACAAATGTAATTAACTGCAAAAACCACAATTCATCCCAGACAGCTTTTGAGTAAATTCTACTTAAATTTAATAAAACAATTTGTTCAAATGAATAATTTAGAGATGAATGTTACTGGAGTAATTGATCTATATACCAGATCGCAAGCTTATGATTCAATTCCAACTAAATTTGTGCATTGGAATATTTAATAGATTATCCTGCATTAAAAACTTTTAAGGAATAACTAAGTCCTTCCCAGAAACAAATTTAAAAAGGATGGTGACTCAGAGTTAAGGAAAACCCATTCCTTACAAAAATACATGCATGCATGTATGTGTTATATAAACATTAATATGCATGAATGCATTATATACAAAGGATATAACTTCTTTTTACATAGACAAAAATTTATTTAGGTAGTCGACAACCAACTTAAAATTTGTCGAAAAACCATGACATAAAACATTTTGATCGTTGTGTAAACGCTAGGGGGTTCCCTGGAAGCGACACGTTGTATGGTCTGAATACAGCGAAAAGCATGCAAGGATCGCTAGACCGGCACTTGGGTATAGTGTCAAAAAAGTAGGGGTACCCACATTAAGGACGGATGCGGGTAAAGAAGTTAGTCCATAAATCTAATATTAGGATAGAATTATGGAATATAGGTACCTCACAAGTAAATTAATGGAATTAGTTGATATTATGATTCGTAAAAAGATAAATAACTTATGTACTCGGGAAGCTAAAAGAGTTTGAGAAAAGGCTAAAGAAATTGATAACTTAGATTTTAAACTTTGGTATTCAGGTAAGAGTAGCACTAGAAATGGTGTAGGTGTAATTATAAAGAAGAGTTATTGTTATAAAGACCTAAACTTTGGTATAAATAGTCCTAAAGATTGTTATTGATCTAAGATTTTTAATGTTATAATTGCTTATGTTCCTCAAGTAGGTTCGGAATGACTTAGAAGAATTAATAAAAATGATACATTTTTAAGAAAGAATTTTTATTGAAGGGGATTTAAATGTACATGTTGGTAGAGTGGTGGAAGATGTTAGAGATATTCATGGTGGCTATGATTTTGGAATGATTAATGAAGAAGATAGAGTCATATTAGATTTCATTGTAGCATATGATTTTATTATAAATAATATTTTATTCAAAAAAAAGAGATGAGCATATTTATTTCTTATAAGAATAGATCTAATAAAACACAAATTGATTATTTTCTTATGAGTAGAAGAGGTCGTCGAGAATGTATAGAATGTAAGGTCATTCCAATTGAGGATTTAAGTACTCAGCATCGATTATTAGTTTTGGATTTTAATATGAAGAGTTGTAAAATAAAGAATACTATAAATTATTGTCATATAATTAGATGGGTGCACCTGAAAGACATAAATAAAATTATTTTTATGAGTAAACTTTCAGATTTTAAGATTTGGAATGTTCATAAAGAAGCAAATTCTATGTGGGATAAAGTAACAAACACTATTAAACAAGTGGCAAAAGATAAGTTCCTATAAATAAAAATAGTTTGTGGTTGAATGATAATGTGCAATAAAAGATAAAACATAAAAAGATAAGTTAAAAAGATTGGTTTAAATGTAAAAGCTTGGAGAACTAGAAAAAATATAAAATGACCTATAGAGAGTGAGAGAACAATCTGTGACGTTAAAAATTTTGACTTTAGTGATATTTATAATAGCTTAAATACAAAAGAGTGAATAATATATGTATAAATTAGTTAAACAAAGAGAAAAAAATAAAGATTTAACTCAAGTAAAATACATTAAAGATGAAAATCAAAGTGTTTTTCTTAGAAAAATATATTCAACATAGGTAGATGAGTTATTTTGATAAAATTTTCAAAGAATTTTATGAAAATACGATCGACATTAGTGATCTTAATATCATTATTAATAATAAAATATTTCATTTTTTCTGTCACATTAGTAAAAAATAAGTTGAGGAGGCTTTAGAGAAAACCAATGGTGAAAAGTCTATAGGATCTGATGATATCCCAATTAAAGTATGGAAATATTTAGGAGATTTAAACAGAAATATTTAGAAGATTTAAACATTTCTTAGCTTCCTAAACTCTTTAATATTATTTTAAAACTAGAAGATGTCTGAGGAGTGGAGAAACATTCTTTTGGTCTCTATTTTTAAGAATAAAGGGGATGCACATAAGTGCGCAAATTATAGAGGAATTAAGTTGTTGTGTCATACTTCAAAATTATGAGAGAGGGTTATTGAACATAGGTTAAGACGTATTACAAAGATTTCTCATAATCAATTTGGATTTATGTTGGGCAAGTCTACCATGGATGTTATACATTTATTGAGAGGTCTGATGGAGTAGTACAGATAGAATAAAGAGGATCTACATATATTTTTTATTGATTTAGAAAAAGCTTACGATGACGTCCCATGAGATATTCTTTGGACAGTTCTAGAGAAGAAATCTTATATTCAAGTCATTGAAGATATGTATACCATGGTTATTACTTGTGTTCGAACAGAAAGAGGATTCACCAAATATTTTCTTATTTCAGTTGGTTTACATCAAGGATCGTGTTTAAGCCCATATCTTTTTTCTTTAGTTATAGATGCTCTTACTGAACAATTACAGGAAGATGTACCTTGGTGTATGTTTTCCGCTAATGATATCCTTCTTGTGGATAAGACTATAGAAAAAGCTAAGGAAAAACTTACGATATCCTTCTTGTGGATAAGACTAGAGAAAAAGCTAAGGGAAAACTTGCATTATGGAGGTCTACATTGGGGTCTAAAGGCCTTCGTTTGAGTAGAACTAAAACTGAATACATGGAATGTAATTTTAGTAGTAGTAGCTCTAATGAGTGATCAAATTATTAGAAGCTGTGAACGCTTTACATATCTCGGATCTATTGTTCAAAATGATGGTGATATAGATGGGATGTTATTACTAGAATTCAAATAGGTTTGCTGAAGTGGAGGAATGCTTCGGGTCTATTGTGTGATAGAAAAGTACTACTCAAACTTAAAAGAAATTTTATAAGTTGGTGGTGAAAACTGCGATGTTCTATGGCGTTGAATGTGCTGA